CAAGTGGTGGTATACTATTTATGAGGACGACACACATGGAGAATTGGCAACGTCTGAACAAAATTAGACCGGTGACCAAAAGCCGGCAATGAATAGGCAGGAAAGTAGGAAAGGAATGTCGAACTTAGAAGAATGAGAAAACTCTCCATACTAAAACTAAATATAACCAATCTTACAAATACATGATTGTTTTTTCCTAATTCAGACTATTCCATTTCTACTCTTAATTTAATTAATTACTAACATTTAAATTCAAATGCGAAAGATTATAAAACAAACTTAGTACCAATGCGCATACAAATTAAATTTATAGGCAAAGACGAATTTAGAGTCCGTTTGGTGATCCTGTTTTCAGCTTATCGGTTTTATTAGTTCATCTTTTTACCAAACACGTAATTTTTTATTCCGTTCGTTAAATTGTATGTGTCCTAATAAAAATAAGTAGGGTATACGTTACTTTTCCAGTCACTTCAGCTAGGACTTTATACATTTCAGTGGGTGAAATTTTACTATTTTAGAGAGGTGAAATAAAAAATATAATAGGTACAATTTTGGGAAAATCACTATTAGCCCCCTGAGGTTATGCCATAATTATAAATACAACCTTGCATTTTCAAAAATCAATTAATTACCCCCCTGAGATTTTATCATTCTCACTGTTTGCCCCCTCATGTTAATATTTCTTAAATTAAATTTCATATAACACTTAAATTTAATGAAAGTTGTCTATAAAATTAAAAATTTAAAGTAAAATAAAGTTTATTATCATACTTATATGTCATTGTTGTTGATCGTTGTTTTTCTATTTAGCTGCTTGATCATGGAATAAATATTAATGAGTGTAGTTAAGAGAGAAGACACACAAGTGAGTTATAAAATATCACAAGAGTATATATTTTTAATTAAAAAAAATAAATATCATTTTATCTTATTAAACTATTAAACTTTTTGTGAAGAAAAAATCATAAAAAAATTAGTAATAGAATTAAAGAGAAAAGTTAATAAATCAAAATCTATGATATATATTTTAGGTCATACATAGATTGATAGTTTTCAATTATTCAAACCATATATCGAACAGTCTATCTTTTAGGCCCGTTATTAATACTAGACCAAACTTTCTGCCTTTTAGGTCATGTATTGATAAATTTCCTTTTTCTTGGTATATTTTCTTTGCTACACATGAAAGAAATGTCTTAGAGATTTACTTAGCCGGATGAATTACATATAAGACTCTTATATTCATGATGAAGAGGTGTTTCAAATTTTGATAACACATATTTCAAAAAACTTTTTTTGATGTATCTCATGAATATTACTCAAGTCATGAGTCTTCTGCTTTAACTACTTTCATTAATATTTATTCCACGATCGAGTAACTAAGTACATAAATAACGATCAAGAAAAATGACTTATAATTATGATAATAAATTGAGTTTTTTTACTTTAAAGTTTAATTTTATAGACAAATTTTATTGAATTTAAGAGTTAAATTAAATTAAATTTAACAGATATTAACATGAAGGGACATATAGTGAGAATGATCAAAACTGAGGGGGTAACTAATTGATTTTTGAAAATGCAAGGTTGCATTAATATTATGACATAACCTCAGGGGGTTAATAGTAATTTTCCCCTTTTTAAATACTTGTGCATACAATTACTATATGCATTTATCTTCTCTCCCCTTAACATAATATGTATGCATTTTTTCCTTGTACTAGACATACTAATGTCCCCCTTATTTTTATTTTTTAATCATTTCTAAAATTTTAAACGAGTTGTAGCGTTTAAAGATAAATTAAACCTAAATAGTTTAGTTTACTTTAAATTAGGGAAAAGAGTTAAATAGACTCTTCTAGCATTTCAAATCCATCATCCAAGTCCTCGTACTAAAAAAAGTATCATACGAGTACGATTACTTTGAAAACACACTACTCCAGTCATTTTGACCAACTATTAGCATGTTTTTTTAAAAATAAATTAGGAAAACTAATAAATTTTATAAAAAATCATATAAACTTAAAAACTGAAGTAATAATATATAAAATCGTAATAGTTAAAGAAAAAAGATCAATAATTTTAAAACAGTAAACAAAAAATAAAAAGCAATATTTGGGTGTATATACAACTATAAATAAGTACAATTAAATTAATGTCACATATTTCCGTAAATAAAATGTATAGCCTATTTGGTTATTTGAAAGAGAGAGAAAATCTCCTAAAACTATGGTGTGTGTTTGATATCCTTAAAGAACACTCACGTACACACATGTTTCTCAAGTGAGAATATGCTTTATATTTGAAATGTCAAAATAGATGCTACTAATTTAACTTCTCTTGTTTATATATGCTAAAAAAAATAAAACCTAAAAGTTTTCAAAAAGATGTAGAATAAAAAAATAATTCCAAAGAATGCCAAAATATAGAGTTTGACATCTTAAATTGTTCATGTATTTATTTGAGTGTTAACAATTATTTAGAATTTTTAATATAAAAAACTGCTATTACAGGTCAAAAACCGGTTAAATGGCTGCATGGAATTATTTTTAATGTAAATGTATTTTAATAATGTTTTTATATTACAAATAGTAGAAAAGTCTATTTCACTCTTTTCTCTTTAATTTATCTTCATGAACATAGAAAATTACTATCCTTGATTTACACAAAAAGTAATTGAAACTTTATTGATTTAAGATATACTCGAATTATATTATAATAAACGTGAAGCCACTCCACTCTATGGTAGGGGTGGACAAATCAGTTTACGGTTCGGTGTTCTTCAGTTTCGGTTCAGTTTCGTTTTATTCGGGTTGGGAGAATTTGTACCAAACTAAAACCATTTGTGTTTCGGTTCAGTTTGAAGTCCGATTTACCAAAGTAAAAAGTACTTTGTATAATTAGATTTAATTTAGTTTGATTTGATTCATTTTCTTATGTTGATTATAATATTATTATTTGATCAAGTTCTTATATTTTAGAATTAGAAAATGAAAGTAGTAGTTAATCACATTTTCTTTTATTAATTATTTAAATAAAGTGTAAAAGGAAATAGACGATAGAAAAATAAACAATAATATTTTAAATTAAAACCTCTAACATCTTTTAGATCACTAGAAAAAGATTCACTTCTCACAAAAAATAAGATTATAGTTGATTAGCATTTATAATATGAAATATTTCATAAGATATTCAGAAAAATTAAAGGAGTCGGTGATACAAATGTTGTAATATTCACAATTTCTTCAAATGAATCATGCGAAAAAATATAAATGCAATCTGTTATTGTTATCGCCATACTTAACAAATACAAATATGTCGTATTATTAGCTAACTTTGTCATAATGAATGTATGAAATTTGTAAAAGTTAAAATGATATATGTTAAATATGTATTTTCATGTCTAAATTATTTATTTATATATCTTAAAAATGAAGAGTGAAGACATATATAAAGTGTGTGTGTGTGTGTAAGTTGTTCGGTGTTTGGTTTGGTTTACGGTTTTTCGGTTTTAAACCAAACCAAACCATTCTTTTTGAGCAAATTCTTACCAAACCAAACCACCAACTTTCGGTTCGGTTCGGATAAACGAAACCATTTTGCTCACCCTTAGGTAGCATGATTCTGTACAATGCAATCTTCAGAAATACTCCAACCTTCATCCCTAGAATAAACACATAAACATAAAATAATAATCAAATAAAAAAGGGAAAACTGTCAAATAGGTCCTCGAACTTTCATAAAAAGATCAATTAAGTCCTTCTATAGGAGGTTCTGTCCGGCCGTCGCGATTTGGGGAAGTTCCCGGTGGAATTTTTTGATGAAATTCTTTAAGCATCTTATTCATGAAGTCTAGTTTACTCATACCAAATTTCAGCAAAAAAATTCAATCGGGAACACATTGAAATTAATTCTTGAAGATAACTGCGCATTTTTGCGTTCTCGAATTAATTTGAATGCGCTCCCGATTAAATTTTTAGCTGAAATTTGGTATGAGTAAACTAGACTTGATGAATAAGATACTCAAAAATTTTCATCAAAAAATTCCACCGGGAACCGCCCCAAATCGCGATGACCGGACAGAGTCTCCTATAGAAGGACTTAATTGACTTTTTTATGAAAGTTCAAGGAACTATTCGATAGTTTTCCCAATAAAAAATCAATGGTATAGCAAGTATATATGTACATCGATAAAGATAAGTATAGACTGTACAACCACACTTAACTGGGCACTTTGTCACACAAAGTTCCAACGCATAAATATAAAAAGTACTCGGTAATAGATTAGAAAAGGTCAAAAGGGAGATTGTAAGTACCTCAGAAAGGCTGTGTTATTGATTCCTTGAAAAAGTGGCGAGTGAGTAATCCCCAATTTCCAATTCCTATCATCAAACAATAAAATTTTCAATTCATAATTAGAAACCTACATAAACCCATTCTGAGATGTTGAGAAAGTCCTTACATAGTCTTCAAACAATACAATTTTCAATTCATAAGATAATACATTCACAGAGTCCCACCACGCAACTTTGAGATCATATAAAGTTTCTATACAAGGTGAAATGACTCAAAGAAATAACATAACATTTTTCTCATCTTTAATTAAATTGCAAATTTTAAATAAAACACAAGTCGTAAGTGACATAGATTTTTAAAATGAAGCAGGATATAGAATTTAATATAACTAATGCACAATATCACATTTTACATGTCAACTTATTGTTGAGAATAATCCAACTTAATCATGCATGTGTACATGCATACGTAGCATTGGGCTGTTTTATTTAATATTCATTTAATTATTGTCATTTGAATAAGTCTACTATTCTTACCTATTATTTAGGAGCATTTGCAGCATGATAGTTGAGTTGTTTTGCACGTTAGAGTATGGCTACAAAGTAGGAGTTTGTTAGCTTGTTATGTGGTCAAGAACTCTTGTAATTGGCTATATATATTAAGCCTTTTGTTTCTCATTTTTATAGATGAGCTTTCCGATTACATTTGTCTTCCTCCTTCTTCGTGTATAAACTCTTTCAACATTTGGTATCAGAGCATAGGTTAGATCAGGCAGTTATACACGAAAGAAACAAAAAAAAAATACACCCCAAAATGCAAAGCTCAAGCAATGGAAACTCAGTCAACCAACTGCCTCTGTTCACAGGAGTTAACTATTATTTCTGGAGTTTGAAGATGAAAACACTCTTCAAATCTCAAGAGTTATGGAGTATTGTGGAAGATGGATTTGCAGATGATCAACCGGAGGAGCCTGATCAAAATTTGAGAGACAAAAGAAAGAAGGATGCAAAGGCCTTATATCTCATTCAACAAGCCCTTGCTGATGATGTTTTCCCTCGCATTGCAGCTGCTTCAACCTCAAAGGAAGCCTGGAGTATCCTCAAAAAGGAATACTTAGGAGACAAGAAGGTAATCACAGTGCGGTTACAATCTCTTAGAAGAGAAATGGAGAATGCACGTATGAAAGATAAAGAGAGTGTTCAAGACTATCTTTCAAGGATTGCTGATATTGTACAAAAGATGAAATCCTATGGAGAGGATGTTAAGCCTCAGCAGGTCGTAAGTAAGGTTCTGAGAAGCCTTACACCTAAGTATAGGCAACTAGTGTGTGCCATTGAAGAGGTTCAAGATCTGGAGGTATATACCTTTGAGCAGTTGACCGGGTCCTTGCAAGCCTATGAAGAGAGGGGCGACTTGGACTGTGATAAGGTAGAAGAACAAGCCTTTCAAGTCCGAGGGGAGGCTCCTAGAGATCAACAACAGCACTTCCCAAATAGGGGAAGAGGAAGAGGAAGAGGAGGCTTTAGAGGCAGTCATGGTGGAAGAGGCAGAGGAAGAGGATCCTCTAGCTATGGAGGAAGACAAGCAAGTCCAAAACCGCCCATCAAGTGTTACTATTGTAACAAAAATGGACACAAAGAAGCTGAATGTTGGATAAAGAATCCAGACCTAGCTCCTAGAACTGCTGATCATAGGTCTAATTATGTTGAGCAAGAACAATTGTTTATTGCTCATCATAAATCAGATCATGATGGAGAAATAGTTTGGTACATTGATAGTGGTTGCTCAAATCATATGACAGGATCCAAAAGCATGTTTCAACATATAGATGACACTAAGAGAGGTGTTGTCAAACTGGGAGATGGCAAGCAGCTTGAAGTAGCAGGACTAGGAGTGATCTCAGTTCAAACAGAACAAGGCAGCAAGAAAACCTTATCTAATGTGCAATATGTTCCACACCTAGCACATAATCTGCTAAGTGTTGGGCAATTGGTGTCAGGAGGCTACTCAGTTTCCTTTGCAAATGGAGTATGTACAGTCAAGGATGGTAGCTCCAATGCAGTTCTATTGAAGGCTGAAATGGGAAATAATAAGTTGTTTCCCATGAACCTGACCACCTCTGGTGGAAAAGCTTTGGTAGTCAAAGGAGAAGAAAATGCCAAGCTGTGGCATCTAAGGTATGGTCATCTTAACATGACCAGTCTACAACTACTGAGTGCTAGAGGTTTTGTTAGAGGCCTACCTAGTATTGGCAAGCTGGAACTGTGTGAAGGGTGTATTTATGGGAAGCAATCAAGAGGTTCTTTTCCCGCAGGAGGATCATGGAGAGCTCGTGAATGCCTAGAACTGCTCCATGCTGATCTTTGTGGTCCAATGGGGACTGAATCATTAGGAGGTAGCAGGTACTTTCTAATGATCACTGATGATTTTACTAGAATGTCTTGGGTCTATTTTCAAAAGACCAAGTCTGAAGCCCTTGAAAACTTCAAGAAGTTTAAGGCCCTAGTTGAGAATCAAACTGGAAAGTCAGTTAAAGCACTTAGAACTGATAGAGGTGGTGAGTTCAGTTCTAATGCTTTTACTGAATTCTGTGATGAACATGGAATAAGAAGAGAATTCACAGCACCCTACACCCCTGAGCAAAATGGGGTGGCTGAAAGGAAGAACAGGACAGTTGTAGAAATGGCTAGAAGTATGCTTAAAGCCAAGAATATGCCAACCAAGTTCTGGGGTGAAGCTGTATCTACAGCTGTATACATTCTGAATGTGTGTCCAACTAAGGCAGTCCTCAATTGTACACCATTTGAAGCATGGAGGAAAAAGACACCCTCAGTAGGTCATATGAAAGTGTTTGGTTGCATAGCTTACACTCTTGTGAACCTGAGAACCAAGCTAGAAGACAAAGCTGAGAAATGCATCTTTGTGGGGTACTCAACTCAGTCCAAGGCCTATAGACTGTATAATCCCCTTACTGAGAAGATCATTATAAGCAGAAATGTCATTTTTGATGAAGATGCAGAGTGGAACTGGGATCAGAATGCTCAACAAGAAGTTCCAACACCCAGAGTTGTAAGCCTAGAAGAACAGTCTTCTCCTCAGCTCACTCCAACTGCATCCAACCACTCTTCTCCTCCAACAACATCATCATCCTCATCTTCTGATGAAAGCTCAGAATCTGACACCTCATCAAGTGATCAGCCTAGAAAAGTAAGGTCACTAATAGATATCTATGAATCTTGTGACTTTGCTTTTATTGTTACTGAACCTGCAGACTATCAAGAAGCTGCTACTTGTGTTGAGTGGACACAAGCAATGAAAGAGGAGATCAATGCTATTGAAAAGAACAAGACCTGGGAGTTGGTGAACCTGCCTAAGGAGAAAAATGTCATTGGTTTGAAGTGGGTGTACAGGACTAAATACAACTCAGATGGGAGTATCTCTAAGCATAAGGCTAGACTAGTAGCCAAAGGTTATGCTCAGCAAGAAGGGGTGGACTATGAAGAAACCTTCTCTCCTGTAGCTAGATTTGAAACTGTGAGGATTGTTCTAGCCCTAGCTGCACAATGGAAGCTGCCTGTATATCAGTTGGATGTCAAATCAGCTTTCCTAAATGGTGACTTGCTTGAAGAAGTGTTTGTTCATCAGCCACCTGGCTTTGTGAAGAAAGGGGAGGAAGAAAAGGTGTACAGGCTCAAGAAGGCACTTTATGGGCTAAAACAGGCCCCTAGAGCATGGTATAGCAAAATTGACACCTTCTTCTGCACATCAGGATTTCAGAAGAGTGATAATGAGCCCACTTTATATGTCAAGAAAGAAGGTATGGAGTTCCTAGTTGTGTGCCTGTATGTTGATGATATCATCTTTTTCAGTTCTTCCCAAAGCATGCTAACCTCTTTTAAAGATTCCATGACCAATCAGTTTGAGATGACTGATTTGGGTATGCTTCAGTACTTCCTTGGTTTAGAAGTAAAGCAGGGAAAAGAGGGTACTTTTCTATGCCAGAAGAGATATGCTCTTAACCTGCTTAAAAGATTTCACATGGAGGCGTGTGAAACCATAGCTACACCTATGAATGCAAGTGAAAAACTACAGAAGAATGATGGTACTGAGGAGGCAGATGTCACCCTTTATAGAAGCATGGTGGGAGGACTCAATTACTTAACACATTCAAGGCCTGATTTGGCTTACTGTGTTAGTATTGTGTCAAGATATATGCAAAGGCCTACAAAGCAACATCTTGGTGCTGCAAGAAGGATCCTGAGATACGTAGCAGGGACTTTGGAGTTTGGGATTTGGTATTCAAGTGTGAAAGATTTCAAATTAAGGGGATATTCTGACAGTGATTGGGCTGGGTGTGTGGATGATAGAAAGAGCATGTCAGGGTCAGTCTTTGACCTAGGTTCAGGAGCAGTAACATGGAGTTCAAAGAAGCAAGAAACCATTGCTTTATCTTCCTCAGAAGCTGAGTATGTGGCTGCAGGATCTGCAGCAAAACAAGCTCTATGGATAAGCAAGCTACTAACAGATTTGGGATGTATGCAGACTGAAAGTGTTGAGCTATGGTGTGACAACAAATCAGCTATAGCAATGGCGAGAAATCCAGCTTATCATTCTAGAACAAAACACATTGATGTCCAGTATCACTTCATCAGGCAACTAGTGGCAAATGGAAGGATTTCACTTCGGTTCTGTGGAACAGAATGGCAAAATGCAGACTTGTTTACAAAGGCTCTCAACCATGCGAAGCACTATCATTTTGTGAAGAGAATTGGCATGATCAAGCTTGGATCAAGGGGTGGTGTTGAGAATAATCCAACTTAATCATGCATGTGTACATGCATACGTAGCATTGGGCTGTTTTATTTAATATTCATTTAATTATTGTCATTTGAATAAGTCTACTATTCTTACCTATTATTTAGGAGCATTTGCAGCATGATAGTTGAGTTGTTTTGCACGTTAGAGTATGGCTACAAAGTAGGAGTTTGTTAGCTTGTTATGTGGTCAAGAACTCTTGTAATTGGCTATATATATTAAGCCTTTTGTTTCTCATTTTTATAGATGAGCTTTCCGATTACATTTGTCTTCCTCCTTCTTCGTATATAAACTCTTTCAACACTTATATCTATCCATTGATGAGTTTTAACAGTACACGATTCTGGAATATAATCTCTAAAATTCATCAACTCATTTATAAGATTGATAATTTTAAATAGATGGCATTCATCAACTCATTTTCTCTGTTCAAACTTCTCCATGAAAGATATGGGTGAAGTGGAAGTTATCCTTGAAATTAGGATAACTAAGCAAGAAGATGCTATCACCTTAACACAATCTCACTATATAGAGAAAGTGTTGAAAAGATTTGGGAGTTTGGATTGCTCATCGGTTTCCACTCCCATGGATCCTAGTTGGAAATTAGTTCCAAATAGCGGGAATGATGTATCACAGCTTGAATATGCTAGGGTAATTGGGTGTTTGATGTATGCAATGACTAGCACTCGGCCAGATATTGCATTTGCGGTAGGCAAGCTAAGTAGATATACTAGTAACCCTAGTATATTTCATTGGCAAGCCTTGGGGCGAGTGCTGAAATATCTAAAGAAAACAATGAGCTTCGGCTTATGTTACAAGAGTGAACCCTCTATAATAGAAGGTTATACAGATGCAAGTTGGATAACTAATCAAGAGGATTATACATCCACAAGTGGATGGTTATTCCTTCTTGGAGGAGGTGCTATATCATGGGCATCTAAGAAACAAACTTGTATCACAAACTCTACCATGGTTTCAGAGTTTATAGCTTTAGCATCACCAGCTTGTAAAGAAGTGGAATGGCTAAAGGATTTAGTGTCAGAAATTCCGATATGGCCTAAACCTATGGCTCCGACATCTATCCATTGTGATAGTGCATCAACTCTGTCAAAAGCTTATAACCATGTGTACAATGGTAAGTCAATTCACATAGGAGTGAGACACAACTGTGTGCGTGAACTAATTAGTTTTGGAGTTGTGATTGATTTTGTACAATCACATGTGAATTTGGCGGATCCTTTTACAAAGGCGATGCCAAGAGACATGTTGTCAAAACTGCAAAAGGGATGTGGTTAAAGCCCTTAGAAAATAATCACAAGTGAAAGAAAGCTCAACTCAACGTCTAGTACAACGCTAGATCTTAAGTTCAATGATGATGAGTAAGTCACTCCGTGATTGAAGCACTTTTGAATAATAATCATCCCGAGGTAAGTGCTTGAGTCTGCAATGTGTAATGAGGTTGACTGTGTTTTAATAGATCTTTTGATAAAGTGTTTGATTGCAAAACACAATTTGAAAAGACCTACCTATGTGAGCTAGAATGATGGCCGATTCACCAAGTTTAAGGCTTTACTTGTTGGAGCTCATGAATGGATATGGACACAAGGCCGTTAATAGTGTCAAGTTTCTAAGTGAAATTGTATAAAGATTTATGTGTGTCATATCTTCAATATTTCAAAGAGGTTATATAGTTCAAAGCTTAGTCTACTATTATGATCCAAAATATTGTAAAGTATATTGCAATAAATGAAAGTTCAATCTTTAAAACACTTTCAATTATGCATAAGTCTTGATAAGTAGTCTATTTGGCAAGTTTTGAGCAAGATTTATGTCTCAATAAATGGATGATTGTTGGAAATTTATTGAGAAATGGAGCTCAAGTGTTCAACTTGATATTTGGAATATTACTTTTTAATAATTATTGCCAAGCTTTAATTATTAAAAATAATATTAAAATGTTAAATTATTATTATGATAATTATGAAACTAGACATGATTTAGTTATCATAATTAACCTAGCATGAGTGTTTCGTTTTTTGCAGTGTGCTTTGGTTTCCAGACGCAGACCTTGGTTTTTAAATTAAAAGTCACAACCGTTGGTGTTAACCAGTGCGTACGTGTACTTTCGGAAATTTCAAGCTATATGACACTTCGGTTATACCAAAGTTGTTAAAATCGTATTTTTAGATCGAATTGGGACAATGGTTTAAAAATCGAATCGTAAAATCAAATCGTAAATCATAAGATTTTATAAAAGAATTAAAAATATATTACTAAAAATTTTATTCTAAAGGAAACATACAATTTAACATTCATAAGTCATATCATCAAATCATCAAATCATTATATGCTCAAGTCTTACTATACAATGATGTCTTAATTAAAGTGCACAAAATAATTAATGCTATGTAACCAAAGAACAAAAGTCACTTAACAAATAAATACAATGTTATTATAATCAAAATTTAGAATGAAAAAATTATACTCCGCACTACGTAGTTAGAATAGTACTCTAGTACTATGTATAACAATATATGTGTTTACTAAATCAAGTCCTATAGGTGCGTTTTGATACTTTATATTCCTATTAATTAATCAACAAGGTTGTTATTGGTGAGTTGCTAAAGCTATGTGCTAACTAGGTGGATATTAGTAATAAAAAAAACTAGGTGGATAGTACTATAGTATAGTGTTAACTAGTCCAACCATATTTCACACCCTTATATTTTAATATTTTTATCCCCCTGTTGTAACAATATGTATATATGTGTGTGTGTATATATATAGAGAGAGAATTATTCACAAAGGTGGTCGAGCGGTTTTGGGCCCTAGCCAGCGGTTTTGGGCAGAAAAATCGCTGAAATGGAAACGTTACAAATAGAAGACTTTTGGGTTAATACTTTAAAAAAATTCTTTTTCTACTACGTATTGTGGTCGAGGAGTCAAATTATCAAACATCTCCTCACTATTCGCCAACTTGTTTTGCTAGTGCGTCATACTCGTTGATTGGATTTGCTATTGACAATCCGCACACATCATCCACTATCAGCTAAATGTCAAACACGCTTTAAGTATATTAGCTGAGTTTCAGTGTTGTGATGCTATATTAATTAATTACGGAATAGTTTGTTCATATCCCTGTCCGTCAACTTAGAGATGAAGAAAGGTTATGTTGAATTGTTGAATCCAGACCATCTTATAATCTAATTGGTCGGACGGGAAGCGGGCGTACGATCGCTTCTACGGGCCGGGGGTGCATCATATGGTGCGGTGCAGCTATCGTATTATATACTTCCTCCGTTCTTTATTATCTGTCTCGCATTCCATTTTGGGACGTTTTTTATTATTTCTCTCTCTTTCTATTTTAGGAAAGTTTTTGATAAAATACCCCCACTTTTTTTTTCTTTTACCCTTCTTACTTTTTACAAACTACTTTCTCTTTCCTACTTTATCATAACTTTACTCTACTTAATATACTCTCTTTCCTACTTTATCATCACTTTATCACCACTTTACTCTTTTTAATATACTCTCTTTACTACTTTATCATTTACCCTACATACTCTACATTTACCCTACTATTTTTCTATTAAAACCCGTGTCCAAGGCTAGCGGGACAGATAATAAAGAACGGAGGGAGTATATTGAAGCTTTCCAGCCGCGCATACGTACGGGTCGAGAAAGCAGACCGCACATGCATGCCGGTTAACTACTTGCGGATTAATCAAGTAAATAAAATATCTACTTTATAGATTCTGATTTCACTTCTAACCACGAAATATAATGAGTAACTTTTTTACTTTCAAATTAAAAGTAGTTTGTCCTTATTCATTGATTCGCATATACCTTGTTTACTAATTTGACCGAGACTCCAAATTAAAAGCATGTTGATTAGTTTAGGAGAGTTCTGCCCAGTGCTGTTTTCAGTCATTTGCATTCAGAATGCGTTATGTGTTAAGAATGTAATTGTAAGCATTTTACAAATTATGGATTAAGTTACAGGCTTACAGCTTCAAAATATTCATTTCAATTAAATATTGTGTTAAAAAGAGATCAAATTATGTTTTTGTGAATCTGTTAAGAATGTAATTGTAAGCATTTTACAAATTATGGATTAAGTTACAGCTTCAAGATCGATATTCATTTAGAATCCTCGAATTTTCAATTCAAAGACAAAAAGAAGCAAATAATGTGAGTTTTGTACTCTCGTAGATGGAGATATGAATTTGTGGGGTTTTCGATGGAACCAAGGTAAGTAGGTAACTACGTATACTCGATCTATCGTTTCAATTCATAAATTTCCACAAAATCATTCGATTCAACTAATTTTAATGTTATCAAACAGGTTCGTTACAACGTACGTCGATCATAATAGCTTTCCAAACGAATATTATATACGGAGTAATTTTTTCACGGAAGCATTTTTAAAATTTGAGGGGTGCCGAATGACAAACTCCGGCCTAGTTGTGTCCTTGTCCATGTATTCCATTATATTACTTCCTTCGTTCCTATATTATCTCCTCCTTTGACAATGCACACAAATTAAAATAGTGAGTTTTGTGTGGTGGAGAGTTGTACAGAAGAAAGAGAAATGTGTAAGAATGTGTAAGAATGGTTGCGAATTACAAATTCTTTGTTAAAAAAGAAAAATGAGATAATTTTGAGACGAACGAAAAAAAGGAAAGTTTGAAGATAATATACACCAACATATTTCCATTCTTGCTCTAGCTAATGTACATAGTATATCATAAGCATCTTCATGGTTGTTGATGTGTTTACGTGTTTACGTGACAACTCTAAATTAGTTTGAATTGTGAGATTTTAACATTCATCTGAATTTTATAATTAAAGATTGAGTTTTACATGGGGGCAGGCCTATGGACATGCCTAAAGGAGGGGCAGCTACCCTAATTACATTTATGTAGCACAAATTGTCAAAATAGGTTGCCTAAACTCTTGCCCGCCACTTAAAATATACTCCCTCCGTATCTTTAAAATCTTCCCACTTTCCTTTTTTCTCCGTAACAAAAAATCTTCCCATTTCTAAAAATGGAAATAAAAACACTCCAACTTCTCTATTCTACCCTCAATTATACGTTCTGAATTACCCTTGTTACCCTTAATTTTGAATTTGAAAACATAGTGTGTCCAAATGCCCATCAGTTCTCGGCCCACTTATCATACCCTACACGACGTCCAAATTGACGTGATGCTGCAGTCCCAACCCTACCTCTTTCCCGACTTCATATCTCAAGTATCAAGCATCCCGCCTTCTTACACTTGCCTGAACCCATCTTTGCCGCCTCTGCTCTCATGGAATCTGAAAAAACAAAGAGCTCGACTGCCTCTGCAGCTGGCGACCATGGTGCACTCCCAGCGTCGCCCTCAGAGGCAGACGGTATTCAGTCTCCGGCCGTCGATATCCTTCCCGCTGGGGATTTGCCTTCACTTACCCCTCCGCTTGACGATGGCGAGGCTTTACTATCTGATTCAGAAGGTTTTCCTTCTCCGGAATGGTACCTCTCTCCTTCTGACACCGACGATACTGATCCGACTTGGAAATGGAGGAAACGTTATGAGGGATTGATTGAACCCGACAGTGACGACGGCTTTGACGACCTCGAGAGCCGGTGGATTGCGGTTACTTCCAAAAGGGCAGCGACGCCAACCCCTGTGGCTACGGCGGACGAGGATGAAGGATTGCCATAGGGGAGTTCTTACTGCCTAATTTCATTTCTTTGTTGTCCAATAATTGCATGTTTGTTTTAGGTTCTACTGTAGGAACTTTGTGATGCTTATGTCGCCTGATTTCGGTCGTGTACTGTATGTGCTATTTGAATTGTTTGCTGCTGATTTGTACTCAGTTCAGTCATGTAATGTCTGTGATTAATAAACCTTGTGATGTTTCTCTGAGGTATATTGGCCTTAGTAAAGCAGTGCACTATCTGTGTTGAAAAAAACAGTGTTATGACTATTTTCTGAGGTTGTGTAGCATTAGTTTTCTCATGTGTAGCCTGTGATGAATCTGGTCTGAGGCATAATTTCAAACCGTGCAATGGTATGTTGATGGTGGTAAACACTTTGATCGGTTTGGATGTGTATTAAGTGTGAGTGAACTGATGTCCAGCCTGTGAAGAATTCATTTCACCCCCATGATTAATTTGTGCACTTTGTCACTCATTTTTAGCCTGATTAATGTAGTGCACTGTATGTGATGATAAAAAGTGGTGATGACTATTTTCTGAGGTTGTGTAGCATTAGTTTTCTCATGTGTTGCCTGTGATGAATCTGGTCTGAGGCATAATTTCAAACCGTGCAGTGGTATGTTTACGTTGGTAAACACTTTGATTGGTTTGGATGTATATTAAGTGTGAGTGAACTGATGAAAAAGCCTGTGAAGAATTCATTTCATCACCATGACTAATTTGTGCACTTTGTGACTCATTTTTAGCCTGATTAAAGTAGTGCACTGTATGTGATGATAATTAAGACTTAGTAATCTGATTAAAGTAGCCTGATTAAAGTAGTGCACTGTGTGTGAGTAAACTGATGTCCAGCTTACGTAAACACTTTTAATTGTTATGATGCTTATTAAGACTGAGTAAACTGATGTCCCGTCTCTGATTAATGAAGTTCATCCATATGTGTCATTTGTGAACATTGTGAAGCTTATTTAGCTTGATTATACCAGTGCACTGTCTATGATGATAAAATGTTGTGATTACTGTGTTAAGAGATTTCGTGGCCTTGGTTTTATCTTGTCTTGCCTATGATGAGTGTGTTATGAGGCCTAAGTTAAAACATTGAAGACGCAAATGTTACGGTAACTATTTTATGAGGTTATGTTGTACTGGTAGTATATTGCTTTATAATACTTCAACCATATTGTTTATTTGAATTAATAGACATTTATGGAGTCACCAGAGATAAACAATTAACCTCATTCATTTATTAATAACAATCCAAAGCAGTCCTAACGCATTACAACTGTCTAACATAAAGCATTACACATACATGAAATTTGCCTTCACATTCAGTCACACATTAAGAGAATGTGATATTTTAAGCAACGCCTCCTCATATATCTGCTTAGTCACACCAATTCTCTGAGGTAGTTGACCTTGCCTTTGTAAAGCTTCTTTTCCCAAATGCTGCAATTTGTAATTATTTCCTCCCCCGCACTGCATCACTTCTTTCATAACAGTTTGATAAGATAGAAACACCTTTTCTAGGGTTGTGGCTGAAAGTTCGTTAAAAGCTTCTTCCACATTTGCAACCAATTCAGGGAGTGAACTGCTAGGCTTTTGATCTTTTAGGGAATCAATTGCTCGAAAAAAACCTAGGTCTAGTATATTTAAATCAGGGCTGTTTGGTGGTTGGCATTGCAAAGAGACATTCCAATCATCAGTACTTGCTTCTCTATGAAAATCTTCATCGTCAATTAACATATGTGGCTTTGCATTATCTTGTTGAATGATGATGTTCCTATTGAGGACATCTGGCCATTTTTCTTTAATAGCAGGCAATAATCTGGATAGAAACATTTCCTTCATGACTTCCCGCGTTATCCTAGTGATAGGTTTAACTTCCAATGACCCTCTTGGCCTGTTTATACTAGATCGAAGAGCAGCCCCTACGTAAGTGAAAGGCCAAATTCCAAGCTTTCCGTCCCATAACACTTCCCCCCTTTCACTGAACCTAGGCCTACTCACAGCAGCTAAAAACATGATTTTTGGAATGAAATTCTTCGATTGAGCACTTCTGTATGGATCCGGTTCATCAATGGCCAAATAGTATTTCTCACTTTCTTTAGTCGTGTTAAACCACTTTTCATCTATGTGAATGTACTCATACATGTCTTTAAAAGTAGGATTCAATGGAATAGACTCAGGGGCAAGTAGACCAACACAATGTTGTAACCTTTTTACTTTACCGTTATCGGTTAATCGGGGTTTAAGGGAGTTAGTATGTCTTCTAACCTGTTTTTTTTGTAACAGCCTCCACATGGTCATGTGTGACATTCCCATTGCATAGGCAACTGATCTGAGATTTTTCCTAAATTGAAGTGGTATGTTTTTAAGCTTTTCTGAATCAAGAATTATACCTTTTCTGCCGGAATGACCTGTATACCTTCTGTCCACATTCACTATCTCCCCTTGTAGTATTTGTAGCTTAACTTTTGCCCATATAGAGTAGATTGTTCTCCTTGTGGTATTGAAGGTAGCAGCAGTTTCATTAATGATGCCTCTATGAAGTTTCCCCCCATTGTGTTGTTGCAATAGTTGTTGTGTAATTCGCTTCCTTTCTTCATTGGTCAATTTCTTTTTCCTTGAATGTAATGTGATTGGCTCTGGTGAGTTGATGACTGCTTCTTGAACATGAATATCTGCATTTGTATTGTTTGTTTCTTCATTAGTAACATTCTGTAATTCTTCTTGTGCATCTTCATTTTCTGCAATAGGGAAGTCATTGAGGTCAAGGAGGGGAGCATGGAGCTGCTGCCAAGTAAGAGGAGGGAAATTGTTTAGGTCTGGGATGCAAGAACACAAAGTACTTCTCATTTTTACTGCTCCTAGGTTTTTGTAGATCTCTTTGTGTTGAAATTCTTGTATATATACAAAAAATTCCTGGACTGTACTTTTAAAATGGAGGGAGTATCGAGTAGTTTCCCTCCATACTTCAATTTTTCATTTCAATTATTTCTGAGGTTCTGTACACATGTGACAAACTGTTTTGGACTCTTCCTATTAATTTTCAGACTGCCTGCACAAGGGCAAAACAGTCTTTTGTATTGTTGTCTGGTTACTGTAGATAATCTCACCCACTTTTGAAGTGGGAAGATTATAAAGATACGGAGGGAGTATTTATATCCCTAAATAGTCCAAGATTACACACGAAAGTTGGCTTCACAACTACATTCCGTCTGTGGTTTTTGTCTTCCTATGTGCTTCACATCAGTTATTTATTACTTGGCATTCCCTTAATTATTTCTAATTATTTTGGTACGGTGTTGATGAATTGATTTAGGGAAATTTACTATTAACCCCCTGAGGTTATTCCATAATTATTAATGCAACCTTGCATTTTCAAAAATCAATTAGTTACTCTCTGAGTTTGGATCATTCCCATTCTTTGCCCCCTCACGTTAATATTTGTTAAATTTAAATTTAATACAATTCTTAAATTCAATGTAAAATGTCTATAAAATTAATTCTTAATTTAAAACACAAATTATTATCATTATTATTAGTCATTGTTGTTGATCGTTATTTTTCTACTTGGCTACTCCATCGTGGAATAAATATTATTGAGAGTAATTAAGAGAAAATACTCATGAGTAAGATATAAAATACCATGATTTTTTAATATATTTATTTTAAAAAATTAATTATCATTTAATCTTATGAAACTAATAAACTTTTTACAGTAAAAAAACTCTGTGAAGATAAAATCATCCCAAATTAGTAACATAGTTAATAACAATTTTAAATAAATTAAAATCTATGATATTTTCCGTCTTAGATTGATAGCTTTCAATTATTCAGATCATAGAATAATTGGAATAATCAAATTCATCACACATTTTGTCTTTTAGATCCCTTACTTGACTTCTTGCACAATTATAAAGTGAGAGGTTGTGGCAAGGCTCAACTCCCATTAGTGACATATTTTGGAAAAATATGTCACTAATCGTCTTTTGGCCACTAATCTCATTAATAAACCGTTTGCGGGCTACACAAAAAACTTTTGAGTACCTGTTTTTATGGATAAGTAGATAACTAAGAGGAAATGATGCTATTAAAGAATTTATCATGTCTTATGAAAAACAGAGAAATTTGTGATGCACACTTGCTTCTATGTTCACAAGCGCGCCCGCACACACAGAGAGACTAGCGTTTTATACGCGCAATGCGTGAGATCCTATGACCGATATAAAATGAATGAATTAATATTATTTTATATTAATGTATGCATGTGTATTTTATGCTACATGTGACACATTTCATATTTATGTAAAGTGAATGACATTTATAACTTTAATACCATTTTAGAATAAAGTTACATTTTTTCGTTTTAATGTCATTGTAGTGCTAGAATCAGTTCTATCTATAGCTTTTATCGATACTACCATTTTCACTTGAGTTTAGATTATCTGTAATTTAAATATGATCAGATGTACAATTAGATGTTATTTTGATTCAACAATGTTGTTGAGCTTGAATTTAGCTTTCAATGGGTATACAAAAAGCTCAAATAAACAACCTTCAAATAAGATTGATTGAATAATGGAAAACTAAATGTGCTTATTGTAAAAAGAGCTCATATAGTCATATATATAATACTTCGTACTAAACATAAATATGATCAATAAAATGCTTTGTTAATATGCAATGAACATAATTAACTTGGGATAATTTGGTCTTGTAACAAAATTAATTTGCTATGTCTTTTGACTACAATTGATGCAAAACTAAAGAGAGTGTTTCTAGTGCTTTGCAATGGGTAGGTATTTACAAATCATTTAACGGAAGAGAGTTGAGGTTTTGAAGAAGTGCGGGTATCTTAGCAAATGTGAAAAGTGGAGTACAATTTTTTAATAATGTACAATTTCTTATGCTCACAATGTATTCACATAAATGAAGGATACATTCACAAATATAATACATAATGTTTTTAGACACTATATTAATTTAAAGATTATCGCCTTTTTATCTTTTACCGACTTGAGCTTTGACATCTCTTTTCAGTTTTATATCGTTAATTTTTAATGAGCCATTGAGCCTCATCGTTATTTTTCCTTTAAAAGGCATAAATATAATCTTTTTAATGTCCGTTAAAGTTTTTAAATAGAATGAATCAATTGTGTTTGGTTTTAGAAATGAACCGGAAAATCAAAATGCATTAGACAACAATATGACAGTTTATTTATTGACAGAAAACACAAAAGTACGTATTCTACTAAAAAGTCAAAAACCCCATTTTGGCGTTTTAAGTTTGTCAAAAAGCAGTTTAGTAGTTTAATTTATTTATTCTATAAAAGCCAAAAGTTAATGATTTCATGATATCATCGAATTCAATAAAAGAATTCCACAACTTGTAGTCATTAATTAGTCAAATAGTCGCTAACATGTATCTAGAGCAGTAACCCGAAAATTCTAAGATTATAAAACCCTCATTCTGTCATGATTATTTCAGTATAATAATCATTAATCAACGATTAATAGGCTAACATGCATCTATACTAGATTATAAAACCCTCATTCTGTCATGAATGGTATTGTTCCTATTTTTATTATAGAAATGAATGATAGGTCGCTAACATCCAGCTTGCTAGAAACCTTTTTCATCTTGAATTGAACATTATTACTTCTAAGTAACATAATGCCGTGTACAAGTTCTGTAGATAATTAAAGTAAACGAAGAGAGATTTAGGGTTTGTTTGCAAACATACTCACAAGTGTATTTGAACTTTCTAAAGTGATTTGAAAAAAAAGTGTTTAATAGTAAAAATTGGTAGTGTTTGAGAAAAAAAGTGATTTTGAAAAGTAAAAGTTGATAGTGTTTGGTAAAATAAGTGCTTTTTAGACAAAGTAAAAAGGCTTTTAACTTTTAAGTATTAATTTAAGTAGAAATTGTCGCTTCAAAATACTCTTTTTAGCTTTTTAAGCCAAAAGTCAGGGCCGTTTTTTAACAAGTTAATTAGGTTCAACAAAACAGGGCCCCACTTTCCATGGGGCCCCAATATTTATATGGTACTTGTAGTATTATTTTTAGGTCACTAACATTAATTAATTAATTAATTAATTAATTAATTAATTAATTAATTAATTAATTAATTAATTAATTAATTAATTAATTAATTATATAACAGTGTATACTATCGTATATGAATATGCGTTGCGACTAAATTCATACCTAATGCCCTCATAAATTGAAACACTTTACAACAAATGTAGGGGGTGTCCCCAATTCGGATTCTGAATGATTTTGATGGATTTAGAATTCCGTCAGAATTTAGGTGTTCCCGATTTAGATTTCTATGGAATCCATGAAAATAAGGGTGTCCTCAAACATTTCGTGGATTTCTATGGTTGCTTATGTGCATAGATTTTAATGGATTTCGATGGATTTCTTCATACAAACCACAATCTTGTAGGAGTTGTAGACTCCCCTCGAATTTCAAAATCCATGATCTTTTAAAATTCATCAAAGTCATAATCAAGGAAATCCCCCGTAGAGATTAATTATTTGAAAGAGGAAAATTACTACCTATAATTCTTCAATTGCATTATTTAGTGAGTATTCAATTGATTTGAGTATAATAAGAATTTAGACCGAGAATATTTTTTAGTTTTTTTATATTAAAACGGGCCTCAAATTTTCATTTTGAACAGAGGCCTCCAAATTCATTAAACAGACCTGCCAAAAGCTGAGAAACACTTTTTTTTAGTGTTTACAAACAAAGTATAACCCATTTATTACAAAAATAATACCCCGCTTTTAGAACAGTGATCGAATCTGGAAAACTGAACTGCAAAACTCAAAAAATTGTTACCGGCCCGAGTTTCATCTTTAATTTTCCAATCTCGGTAAAATACGTGGAATGAACTCAGTTTGTCCAAGTAATTTACGTTCCAAAAAAAGAAAATAGAAACCATTCCTCCACCGAAAAACCCAAACTCATTACCGGTATTAAAATTTTAATAATAATCTCTCTTACTATAGTGATATTTTCTTTTGGATGAAATTTGGGGTCTGGTTTAGTTTAGTCTGATATGTGGTCTATTTAAGTATAATCTGATCTGAACTCATCTGGTATGATAAATGTCTGGTATCTGTGTATTTTATAATTGTCCAAATTTGGTCTGATCTGATCTATTCAGTTTAAATATGGTTTATTTAAGTTTGATCAGGTCTGATCTGAGACTGAAAACAATCCAAAAGTAATCATCCTAATTCAACATTGTCAATCATGGTATGCGATGATTAATAGAAAATAAAGTTAATTCCTATATCAAAGAATAAATTAGTAAAATCTTTGCAATATTAAAGTATAACAACTAAATTCGACTGTAAGTAAAAAAAAGACGCTTAAAAATCAAATAACAAAAAATAATAGTTTTTTGTTGTTGAAGGAAACAAAAAATAATAGTTGAGAATTGAATATAATAAAGTGCATGTAATGTTGTAGATCATACATTTCTTTTCAAAAAATGAAATGTGACACTTATTTAGAAATAACTCATAAATAAAAGCAGGACATGTAAAATGAGATGGAAGGAGAATAATTCGAATGACATTATATTTATTTATTTAAATATTTATTTATTTATTTATTTATTTATTTATTTATTTATTTATTTATTTATTTATTTATTTATTTATTTATTTATTTATTTATTTATTTATTTATTTATTTATTTATTTATTTATTTATTTATTTATACAATATATAATATTCCGTATACTCCGTAAATAAATACTAATATAATACAGTACAATGTAATAATATTAAAAACATATTACCTTTGTCCTTTAAAGCTTTGTCATATTTAACTTTTCAAATCAATATTTCTAAAGTTTGAATAATAATTTTAAATTTTAGTACATATATTTTTGTGAAAGTACTTTTAACAATTATTTTATATTTTTGCGGTCGTATGTTTACGGTTGAGTAATTATTCTATTATTATATGACTAGTAAATAATTAAAGAAATAATTATATAAATATAACCAAAATAAAGATGGTTTCCAAAAATATGACTAGTTACTAGAGTAGTAATGAAATCATAGTAATTCATGTTCAAGTTTTGAACCTGTATTACCACAACACTACGTTGTAGTAATGAATAGTCATATTTACGTAAATAAGTTTTATTTTAGTAATATTCTTGTAAAAAAATCATAATTAAAACATAATGATTTATTATAATGATTTTTACTTGGATATGTATTAAAATGCCCAATAAATTCTACGAGTATTGAAGAGGCCCTATTTACAAATTAAATAGGACCGGCCCTATTTACATAGGACTAGTGATAATGGAGCCGGGTTGGGTCAGGTCCGGGTCGGGGCTAGGCCCGGCGGGCTTATGGGCTTTATGGTGTAGGCCCGGAACCGGCCCGGGTATCCGCCGGGTCCGGTCTGGGCCCGGATATCCGCCGGGTCCGGTCCGGGCCCGGGTCGGGCCACGGGTCTGGTTATATATATATATATGTATATATTTTTTTTTTCGCTTTCCTAACTACCCCTGACCCCCCCAAACACCCAGCCCAACCTCGGGGGAACAAAAAAATTTGAAAAAAAAAACTTTTTGGCCCGATCGGGCCCCGGGCCAGGCCGGGCCGGGTCACCTTTTGCCCTACCCGAGCCCGCCCCCGCTTTCCCCTCCGGTTCGGGTCAACACCCGGTACCGGTTCGAAGGACCGGTCCGGTCCCGGGCCCGCACAGTAGCGGGCCGGGTGGCCCGAACCGGCTCCATCACTACATAGGACCGGCCTGTGCATTACTTTTATAGAATGTGGTTTATTGAGAATTTTTTTGATCGAATGGTCTATTGAGATCTTGTTAAGTTTGATTTGTTTATGCCGGTCAATGTTTCTTTGTATTTTTATAACTATCCAAGTCTGGTCTGGTCTGGTCTGGTCTGAATTGGTCTGGTCTGGTCTGGACTGGTCTGGTCTGGTCTGGGGCAATTACACTCCAAGTAAAAACATCCTTAGTAAGAGCTGAGGTTAATTGAGGGAAATTGCGCGCTTCCTCAAACTAGTCAAGAAGATTGCAAATGGAAATATATAAATACGGAGTATATAGTATTCCTTCCGTCTCGCTATGATTGTCCCATTTTACCTTTTCGGTTTGTCCCACTAAGATTGTCTCATACCTTATGTGGTAAAATTTGTGTGGTTCTAAATCATTTTGGAAAAATTGACAAGAATAATCCCACCTTTCACGGGTCTTCTCATAATAATCCCACCTTTAAATAATCCCAAAATAATCCCACCTTTGCACCTCATCTTCTTTCATTGGACCCTAACCATGTTGTTTACTCTTTCTTTGAAAATTATACAAATAATCTCACCTTTCACTTTTTAATTATATCCTTATAAATGTGAGATTATTTATATAAGATTTTTAAAAAATGTAAAAAAAACTTGGTTAGGGTCCAATGAAAGAAAATGGGGTGTAAAGGTGGGATTATTTTGAGATTATTTAAAGGTGGGATTATTATGAGAAGACCAGTGAAAGGTGGGATTATTCTTGTCAATTTTTCCAATCATTTTTATTTTATTCTAACCTTATCAATTTAATATCAACCACATGAATCCACTTTTATAAATAACCGTGTCACCTTCTTTTGTCCCAAACAGAGGGGACGGAGCTAGTATACTAGTATATAGTATAAATGTGTAATTAATTAAACTCTGCCTCTTTTCATCATGAAATATTCTTCCATCAATAGAATGAAAATAACGTTTAAACGACTTTTAAAAAGACTCATTAATAAATACGAAGTACTAGTACGTAATATGAATCATTTTATATACGTAGTATATACTTAAATTAAAGAACACAAAACCAAACGTATATTGGACGGCGCTTATTTACATATAATAATGATAGTCATCGGCTAATATGCTAGCTTTGATTTAGCTAAGAGCCTAAGAAAGATAGATCAGAGAGATGATTGCCGTTGTTTTTTTACTCCATTAATTAATTGATCAATTAATGGTTAAGTTTGTTTCCACCCTCTGATTTGATTTTACTTACTGAACGATTATTAATATTTGTTCATCTGGTAATTAACGATTGCGGTCTTTGTTGTTCCACGTTGTAATTGTACGGCCATGCAGATGATGCAGGGGAAGAGACCTGCTGCTGAAGTTGCCGGAGAATCAAGAACTGGTGCATGTCCCAGAGTCTTTGCCGGAGCACCGCCGACTCCGCCCGGAGCCGCTCGTTTTCCGTGTTCACCATTTGGCACTGGGCGGTGGCGGTCTGAACCCGGTTCAGTAGCTCCCGGTTCAACATCTTCTGCCGGTTCGCTTGGTTCCTCAAGTTCTCCAAATGTTTTTGTTTTCTCATCCTCGACCGGCGAGCCGACTCCCGGTTCGAGATCATTCTCCGCCTCTTCCGTTCGTCTACTTCGGACCCGGAGTTGGTCGATATGCTCCGCTTTCGGGTTCCTTCATCGGAACCGGAGTTAGAGTAGGCTTCGGACTTCGGGTTCGGTTTCTCGTCGTATGAACCGGAGCTGGAGTTTGATATAACCGGTTCTTGAGGAACCGGGGTTTGAACGGGCGGAAGAACCGCCGGTTCATGAGGCTGGAAATCAAAGGAAGAATCCCATGGGAAATCGGGGAATGGGTTTGAGAAAAGAGAGTCAAACGTCGCCGGAATAGCTGACAACATGACCGGAAAACTAGTTAAACGGCGGGGAGGGAGATCGGAGAGGGAAAGGGAGGGAACGAAATGGTCGAGTGGGGTATTTATCGGAGGTGGTCGGACGGTGGTGGTGGCCCACACGGGATATGCTTGTCGTTACACGTATTAACTTTTGAGTCACTTAATCTTGTCATTAGCGTGATGGGACCGAGTTTAGCTCCAAAATTAAAAGTTGAATGATGACTTTGTGGCTTTGGGTTCATGCTTGATTTTATTTTATTTAGAACGATCGTCATGATTAAAGAAGCTAAATCTTGTTGAAATCGTGTTTTTTCTTTGACATTCTTGCGAAGAGGGTGGCCCACAGGATTATACTCGATTCCTCCTCACTGAAGTAGGAGTATCATCTTGGTGTTTGACTGTTTGTACGTGTCTATAACACTCCTTTTTCGTGTAATAATAATTGTGTAACAATATACATCAAATGTTAAAAAACAAGGTTTATCAATAAAATAACAAAGGCACATGGTCATGTTTTAGAGTGTTGTCTCATTCGTTCATTATTTGGCTATAATTTTTGTTGTTGCATTTCTTTCATAAATGTCCTTAAGAAATCATACTATATTCTCCGTATATCATTTGTTTTAGGAGAAATATTTGTGGAGATTGTATTGTTTTTAATACTTTTTGACTATTATTATCTTTATTACATTTTTTGGGTAAAAGGTAAATGATATATACTTCTTCCATTCTTTTTTAATTGCAACAGTCAATATTTCACATTTGCCAACACACATCTTTGACCGTAATTATATCTTAATCTCTATTAGTAAAAAATAAATAAAAATTAGATTTTAAAAATTTGTAATGAGATGAATTGAACAATATATTTTTTAAAAAAAGATTTTTTAATTATATACAAGTAATAGATAAAGATTACATAGTTAAAGGGGGCATACCCCTATGATTTTCCCACAACATTCGGATAGAAATAGATCTATTATAAGGTGCGAACCATGGCTGCCTAAGATTGAAAATTTGAAATTGCAGAAAAGCCAAACATAGGCCTCAACAAAGGAAAATTCACAAAATTGGTAACGACTAAAACACAGGAAAATTAAATGTCAATCATGGTTGAGGGGTAGATTCTATATAACACTTTATAGATAATCACTTTAACTAATATGCATAATCAAGCCTTCAATAGAGATAACCCCTTCTGCAAATAGGGCTGTATTCCTTGCTTTCCAAATGGAATAAACTGTGCATGAAAATGAGTCTAACAGCCTTGCTAGTGAGCCGAGCACCTCTAAACACTCTTTTTTAATCCATTTAACTGCACTGTGTAGAGTAGATAAAGTTCTTCTAATACCCAGCCACATACAAATACTTTTCCAAATAGATGCAGTCACCGGACATAAGAAAAACAAGTGTTCCACAGTTTCAATGTGATCTTTACAAAAATAACAACTTCTTTCAACATCAATGTACCACAGATTATCTGCCGCAGATAACCTATTTCTAAAGCAGAGCCACAAGATAAAAGAAAACCTAGGAGGAATGTAACTCTTCCAAATAAAATTCATCCAAGGTCTACTAACTGCTTTGGACATGAGAGCGTCATAAATGGTGGACGAGATCACGAGACCAACTTTCCATTTCTGCAGTTGACTCCAAACTTTGCAATAATAGCCTCCGGGCTGCCAAGATATTGTAAAAGAACGCCTTTTATTCTGTCCAACTTCTTCAACAAAGGGGAATCCCGACACTTGGGACTCCATTCCCATATAGAACAATTTTTCAGATATATACCATGAAACCACTTAATCCACAATGAATCTTTTTTTGAATGAATGTTGCAGAAGGTCTTGCCAATCAAAGCTAGATTCCAGACTTTTGGTTCTCTTAGTCCCAACCCACCTTCTTCTTTAGGTTTACAGATATCACACCACACAACTTTAGCGCTTTTACCATCCCAAATGAATTGTATACAAGTAGAGATAATCCTATTAAGGATGGCTACAGGAATGGGGAAAACCTGCAACCAATAGGACTGAACATCCTGTACCACTGCCCTGATCAGTTCAACCCTCCCTGCATATGACATAGATTTAACTTTCCACTTTGCCACATAACCATCAATTTTTTGAATAAGTGGAGAGTACTGGGCCACCAAGACTCTCATGGGGGCTAGAGGAATGCCCAAGTATCTCACAGGGAATTCTCCTTCTTGAAAACCAGTCAGGGCAAGTAAGTCATCCTTCATCTGTCCATTTACCCCTGCCAAAAAACACATTGGACTTCTCCACACTAACAGTAAGTCCTGAAGCATTTCGGAAGGAGTCCAAGCATTTCATAAGCACACTCACCGACCCACAGTCAAAATATAATGTTCTACAGTATCTTTATTACAGTAGCTTATTAAACATGTCGAGCAAACTAAGAGGAAGACTTAAATTTTAATGAAGTATACTTTTTTAGATTGAAGCCAAGTTTGACGATTACAAATATAATTAAATTATTTTTACTTTTTTTAATTAAATTATTTATACATATAAAAGAATATTTTGGTTGTGCAGTAGTACACGAAAATTAGATTTTTGTCACTTTCAGTCCTCCAACTGTTATGACATGGACATTTGTGTTACTTGATTTTGATTTTTATCATTTTTAATCTTTTCGATTATTGTGCGAAAAACACTTTTCGTATCCATTTTTAACATTTCAACATTTAGTCCTTCGACTTTTATATATAAAGTGACACTTTTGGTCATTCAACTATTAGAAAAGTGACATTTTTAGTGTATTCGTGTACCATAGAACCAAAAAAAATTAGTCAAAATTTTAGTGAAAGGATTCACAATGTCAATTTGATAATACTCACGGGACGTTTAAATGTGGGATCGGAAACTTTGAAGTACAGGATTAAAAGTGTTTCTGACACAATAGTCGAGGATTAAAAATGAAAAAGTTGAAAGTCATATACCAAAAGCGTCACTAACATGTACAATAGTCCAGAAGTAAAATGTTGCAAAAACTCCATTACATTATGACAAGTTTTTAACAACAATAGGTTTTGGTTTTTGTTAACCTTCATTTGAGATGAATTTGAGATGAAACTTAAAAGGAATGTGAGGGGAGGGTAACGAAATACCTTGATTGAAAGTAATTTAAAACAGGTGACTAAACATCGAAAGTAGAAAAATTGTGTGGCTCCCTATTCTTTTATCGTCCCTAAAATGGATGGAGAAGTGAGGAAGGGTGGAATGAATAAAATATTTTTTATTTATTTTTTCTCCGTGCCGGTCCTACCTAAAATTTGCTGGGTTGAGTCGAAATTATAAAATGACCCTTATACGTGGTACTAGCTATTAGTTTTGTTCCATTTTATGTGTCCCACTTTAATTTGACATAATTATTAATAAAGTTGTTGAAAAAGTAAAAGTTGTGATTAAGATTTGAATATAATAAAGTGAAAAAAATTACAATTTCTGTTTTTTGCATGAGTATAAGAGTATAAATCATAAACTTTGATTAATTGTGAACCGATAATTCCACAATTCCAATCTTTGTAACATTATATAAAGGTAGATCTCAATTCTCAAATATAAAACTTCCACCAAGGCACGATCCTGCCTTCGTAAGACAAGAGACAAGCAAGAATCAACTTGCTTTTAATTTTTATATAGTATGTGTTTATGCAAACACTTCAAATCCCAACCAATAATATAAGAATTAGTCAATATTTTTTTAAATTAGAAAATAGAAATTGATAAGTTAGTTCATTCAGTAATTCACAAATCAATAATTCACCATATTAGCAAATCAATATAAAAGCAAGAAAAAATTCTGAAAATAATACTTCGTACCATATTAGCAAGTTTGAGAGTTTGATTTTATACTTCACTATTTGGTTGATTACGCTATTGTTCCGTTAGTTTTGTGATGTAGCGGACGATTTAAGCCCGACTACAAGTCATATACTACGTATATAACATAAAGATATTTAAATTTTTGACCGCTAATTTTTTAATTTTTTTGGGCCCTGAGGTACATACCTCACCCGCCTTAAGGAAGGCACGATTCTGCCTTTTCTCTAATTCATCATATTAGCAAATCAATATAGAAGCAAGAAAAAATTCTGAAAATATTACTTGGTAACATTTTAGCAAGTTCGAGAGTTTGATCTTTATTCTTCAACAAGTCATACACTACATATATAACATAAAGATATTTAACTTTTCGGCCCCTAATTTTTTAAATTTTTGGGGCCCCTGAGGTACATGTCTCACCCGCTTTAAGGAAGGCATGACTTTGTCTTTTCTCTAATTAATCATATAAGCAAATCAATATAAAAGAAAGAAAAAATTCTGAAAGTAATACTTGGTAACATATTAGCAAGTTTGAGAGTTTGGTCTTTATACTTCACTATTTGGTCGATTACGCTATTGTTTCGTTAGTTTTGTGAATTAGCGGACGATTTAAGCCAGACAACAAGTTATATACTACGTATATAACATAAAGATATTTACATTTTTTGGCCCCTAATTTTTTAAATTTTTTGGGGCCCTGTGTTACATGCCTCACCCGCCTTAAGGAAGGCACGACTCTGCCTTTTCTCTAAATTTGTGAAGAATAATTTTTAAAATAATTACATATATATAATCATGTTTAAACGATGGACGGGTAGGCATATTGCCTAAGGTTTCGTGGCGGCGTTTGTCCGCAGTCTTTGGTGTGCAGCACTTCGAGCGACGTAGCAACGATACGGGGCTTCGTCCGAAGGGATTTTCAGTCGACAACAACCGTGCGAAAGAGAGTAGTGATGGAAGAAAACCGATAGGAGGAGATAAACGTTTTGATTGCAGATGATGGAAGAATGAAGATTGAGGAAGAAGATGAAGTGTTATGAGTGGAATAAGTGAATTTAGGGACAATCAAAAAAATCTATCATTGATGCATTTCTCTATATTCCGAGACACTATGACGTCGGTTCGGAAACCTATCAAAAGTATTACTATAACAAATCTTGGAGCTACACATTTAATGTCCCAATCTGATTGGAGAGAGTTTACTCGGGTTTATCCTTAAATATTACTTAATTAGAAGCGGGTTTCCAAAAATGTAACTACTTTTTCATATTGAAAAGTATATGACTAATGATGGATAGTCTACCCGGGGGGTATCTTATCCGAGGGGTTATTACGGGAATAACTTAGAGAGAAGTCAGAGCAAATAGGAGGAGAGAGAGTCGATTTTATTAAATGAACTCGAGATGTGGAGTTGGGGTGTAGATGATGTCGATTACAAGGAGAAATGGGTTGCTATTTATAGCAGCAATAAATGCGATGAGAGGACACGTGTCAGTAATCCAACGGCCGAAGGGTCACATCAACCGGTTGGCACCGGCAGTGGTACGTTCACCGCATTGAATGCGGTTGGCGGATGTGACGTGGCATTAAATGCGGTGGTTGGCTGTCCCCAAAAGGAATCTTCGATGATTGAGCATGCTTGGCCGAAGGCTTCTTGTGTAGCCGAGGGCTCCGTGTAACCAAGGACCCCTGTGTAGCCGAAGGCCCCGAGTGGAAGGGGGCTAAGTTCAGCCGAAGGCTCCCCTGATGCCGAGGGCTTGGTAATGCCGAAGGCTCATGTTTTTCGCCGTTTTCTCCCAGTGGCTTCGTATGTCAGAGAGGGCTACTTCGTGAGTTTCTGGAGCCTTCGGCCAAGGAGGCCGAAGGCACCCCCAGTATGTATTTCGGGCTATTTTGGGGCTTGGGCCGTTGCTTTTGGGCCTGAGTTGTTCTCTGGGCTCATTGGATATGTGTAGCAGAAGTAGGAGTCTATGGGCCGGGGGTTCCTGGGCCATATACTCCATCAGGAGTCCCTCACTCCTTTTGCCGAAAGGTACTTGAGGGAAAAGGAGTAGATGTGTTGATTCTTCTGGAGGCTCCATCATTTCGCTGGGTGCCTTTGCTGGAGAACCTTGTCTACTGCTGATTGCCGAAGGCTTCTCTCAGGCCCTCACACCTCGAGGGTTTTCTGAGGGAAGGTATTCGTAACCTTCGCCGGGGGCTCCCCTCAGTCCCTCACATGTCGAGGGCTTTCTGAGGGCAGTGTAACACCTGTATGACTGCAGAAGGCTTTTCCCAGTCCCTCACATGTCGAGGGTTTCCGGGGAAAGCATAGATGTATTGCCTGCATGTGTTGTGATGAGGGCTGCTTCATTTCCGCAAGTGACTTGGGGAAAACTTGTGATATCCTGCCTCTGCCGAAGGGGTTCCACTTTGATGTTTGTCCGGAGGCTGCACGCGTCAATTGTAAATTGTTGTATGAAGAAATATGAAGAAATTTTTGTTCTTTTTGTCCTGCATGATTCCCGAGGGGTGTATCCCGGAGTCCCTCACTCCTTTTGCCGAAAGGTACTTGAGGGAAAAGGAGTAGATGTGTTGATTCTTCTGGAGGCTCCATCATTTCGCTGGGTGCCTTTGCTGGAGAACCTTGTCTACTGCTGATTGCCGAAGGCTTCTCTCAGGCCCTCACACCTCGAGGGTTTTCTGAGGGAAGGTATTCGTAACCTTCGCCGGGGGCTCCCCTCAGTCCCTCACATGTCGAGGGCTTTCTGAGGGCAGTGTAACACCTGTATGACTGCAGAAGGCTTTTCCCAGTCCCTCACATGTCGAGGGTTTCCGGGGAAAGCATAGATGTATTGCCTGCATGTGTTGTGATGAGGGCTGCTTCATTTCCGCAAGTGACTTGGGGAAAACTTGTGATATCCTGCCTCTGCCGAAGGGGTTCCACTTTGATGTTTGTCCGGAGGCTGCACGCGTCAATTGTAAATTGTTGTATGAAGAAATATGAAGAAATTTTTGTTCTTTTTGTCCTGCATGATTCCCGAGGGGTGTATCCCAGTCCCCCACTCCTTTAGGCCGAAGGCAAGTTTGGGCTGAAGGAGTTATGATGCGTTGATGAGCTCCCGAGGGGTGGCAATATCGACTAACCAAAGGCTTATACTGCTCCCAGCTTGAAGGCGTTGTGTTGGAATTCATTGCCTGAAGGCTGTGGTGAGTGATAACCGGAGGCTATCATTCGAGGGCACTCTAGTGCTTCTGAAATATAGCCGTTGCAATACAGCCGTTGGAGGAAGGGTTGACGTGGCGTGTCCTTACTGGCTGGAGGGAGCGGCTGTCATCCATTGGTCGAACCGGCGGCCTGTAATGATGGGCTTTCGAGTTGAGGCCCTGTTCTCGAGGCCCATCTGCCTATAAATACCCCAAGGCAGAGCTCAGTCCTCCTTGTGCGTTCATAAACTCTAGCGAAGCTCTGCCGAATTTTCTAGAGAGATAAGCAATCACCTTCGATCAAACTAGGATTTCTGAGGTCAGTTCTCCCTTTGCTCTTGTTCCTTAGCGTATTTCTTGCTTCCGT